GTAGTTGATCCTCTAAGTGATTATCAACTTGCTCGTGGCAGAGCTAGGAGGGAGATTAGGGAACCTGTTAGGATGGGTGATTATCAATCCTTTGCTATTTTTGTTACATCAAGATTTAGCTTTTAAGAAGCATAAATCTTATGAGGAGGCATTAGGTTGTCAACAATCTAATGAGTGGCTAGGTGCTATGGAAGAAGAAATGAAGTCCCTTGTGAAGAATAATACTTGGAAAATTAGTTCCTAAACCTAGAGATAAGTCTTCAGTAGAGACTGTAAGTGGGTTTATAGTATTAAGGAGGGTAGTTCTTCTAAAGAGCCTCTTAAGTTTAAAGCCAGACTTGTTGCAAAGGGGTTTACATAAAAACTTGGTATTTATTACAATGAAATTTTCTCTCCAATTGTGAAATATACTACTATAAGAGTCATGCTTGCTTTGGTTAATATGATTTAGAACTTGAAAAAATGGATGTTAAAATTGCCTTCTTGCATGGTGACTTTGATGAAAAAATTTATATGATACAAATGCAAGGTTTCATTGATTCTAAAAGACTTAATCATGTTTGTCTGTTAAATAGGTCTTTGTATGGTTTAAAACAATCACCTAGGCAATAGTATATAAGATTTGACAATTATGTGTCATCTATTGATTTTATGAGAAGTGTCTTTGATCATTGTCTTTATTTTAAAAGAAATGATGCGATTGTTTATCTTCTTTTGTATGTTGAAGATATCCTATTGATTAGATATAAAATGAGTGATATTAACATTAAAAAGGCTTTAAGTACTGAATTTGAAATGAGAAACTTAGGACATGCTAGGAGAATCCTAAGAATGGATATTAAAAGAAATAGATCACAACAATCTCTTCTTTTAACTCAATCTGATTATGTGAAAAATGTGTTATCTAAATTTGCTATGCATGATTCTAAGCCTGTTACTGTGCCTCTTGCTTGTCATTTTAAGTTGAGTAAAGAATAGTGTCCACAAGATGAATCTGATATCAAATACATGCAAAAAGTACCTTATGCTAATGTTGTTGGATCTGTTATGTATACTATGGTGTGTACTAGACCTGATATTGTACATGCTATTAGCATTTTGAGTAGGTTTATGGCAAACCCGGGTCCTGATCATTGGACTGCTTTAAAATGATTTTTAAGATACTTAAAAAGTTCTGCAAACTTAGTATTGCATTTTAAATTTTGTAAAGTGGGAGTTGTATTGAAAAGATATGTGGATTCTGATTATATTAATAATAAGGATAATAGGAAATAAACAACTGCATATGTGTTTATTTTGTGTGGAACTTGCATTAGTTGGAAGTCTCAATTGCAGTCTATTGTTGCCTTATCTACTACAGAAGCTGAATATGTAGCTACTACTGAAGTTATAAAAGAGTCTTTGTGGCTTAAGGGCTTGTTAAGTGAACTAAATGAATTACATGATCTTGTTGTAGTTTATTCTGATAGTCAAAGTGCTATTTATTTGTGTAAAAATCCTATTTTTCATGATAGGACTAAATATATAGATGTTAAGATGCATTTCATTAGAGATATAGTTCATAAAGAATCCATTTTGCTTGGAAAAGATTCCTACACAATTTAATCCTGCGGATATGGGAACAAAGGTACTTCCTTTTACCAAGTTTAAATCTTGTTTACAAATCTTAAGAATTGATTATGGGTGAATTTTGTGTTTCTACAGGTGATGACCTTCTCGGTGTTGGTGTTATTAAACACTAATGTGTTTTGGATGTTTATAGTATTGGCATCAAGGGATAGATTTGTTGGATTGCGGTGCCATTTATGACTTTTGCTTTCCAACAGTTTGGACAATAATGAATTGGGCCTGGCCCATTGCTGGAATGTTTTTTTGCCGTTGCCCGATAACACTTTGAACTCGACCCACTTGTCTTGCCACTTGTGCTGTTTTAGGCCGTCGATTTTATGGCTGATCAATGGTTGATTCTAATGGATATATTTACTAGCTGAACTGTCTATTTTAGATGGACTCTCACTTTGATTTTCTCTTCTGCATCTGGGAAGCTTCTGGTGTTTCCTGTTCTTCGTGATTTCTCTATTCTCTTCTCGTTTCTTTGTGATTCTTTGTGCATGATTAAAACCAGAGGTTTTGACTGTGGTTGTGTTACTTCAGTCAATTGAGTAGCTATAGTATAAATAGATTAGGGGTTTTGGTGTTTCTTGTGGCCGTTTCAATGTACAAAATGGTACAATGTATTCTGAGCCCTATATCAAAGAAAGAACTGATTTCTTGATGTTCTATGTGAATCTAGTTTATGCTTCCGTTTGCGATTTTTGACTCTATAGTTTCATCTCCATTAAAGGGAGAAAATTATACTAAATTGGGGGTTATGGTCGAGTGTTTCAATGCAAAGAATAAGTATGGATTCATTGATCAAACCTTCATCCACTGATCCAAACCTCACGATATGGTTACTTCATGGAATGTAGAAATAAAAATTGATCACCAAAGGAATTTCAAGCTCAGTATATCATATGTATATACCGAAATCAACACCACAATGTCACAAAACCAAAAACCATAAACCACACTCAACCGGTTGCTATTTGGTTGCCCGCTAAGGACACATTTGATGGTTATTGGAGCCACACAATAGTTACAAAGGCTGAAAGAATAGGGAGAGATGAGAACACTGTACATGAAGCACAAAGCAAAGGCGCGGCCAATTACTCTCACAAGAAGAAGCAGCAATAACGTTTTTCACACACAACCAGCACAAACAGGGAGTCGACATATATAAAAGAATAGGTGGGCTTTAGGTTAAATAGTAATTAGGCCCAAGAGTATAATAGGTAATTAATAAGTGAGATACATACCAAAAGTTATCCAAGGGATATCGTAGTGTTCACTTTCGAAGATTGGTACTTGGATTGGGGAATATGCAAATAAGGAAGTTGAATTGGACGGCATTGAACTTTTGCAAGCACACTTGTTGAACACAAAATTAGTGTTGGAATTTTTTTTATACACCACACATGGCTCCACTTTGGCTTATGAATTATGGAATCATTTGAGGTTGACTCGCTCTGATACTAAATTTGTAGGGTGTTGAAGCTAAGTATTTTAAGGAAATTTGAAATTTATTTCTATTTTTGAGTCGTTATTGCACACTTTTTTTTATTAATTTCAACACCACAACTCGACTCTATTTGTTATGAATTGATCGCAATATAATGACAATAATGAAATAAATAAAAATAAAATAACAACACCAAAATTTATAAGGAATCCCAAGACGAAAAAAAATCACAAGCAGGAAAGGATAATTTCACTATAATCAATAATGAATATGTTTACAATATCAAGATTTCAATACTCTCAATTGAAATTTAAAATCTCTAACTCTCAAGATGTTATTGAATGTGTATATGGAGATACAATAATATGGAATATATATATAGGAGCCTCATTTTGGAGCTCTAGATGAAGAAGAAAACAGAATTAGCACGTCATGGTGGCCCATCAGCGCCAACTCCATTATGCCCCTGCATTGAGTGCTCCAGTACCCGGGACGTAATCACCAACAGGGGGGCTGGCGTCGGGCTCTCTGTCTCCTTTTCTTCCATGGGAGCTACGACTCTGAGGCGATGACACCTATTATCTCAGCGCCCATTTTCGTTTAATGTGTCCTCCAAAAGTGTTTTTTTCTTCGTCTTAACTTCCTTTTTCAAGCCAAACTCTGAATCTTTGATAAAATTTGGTTTTTATCAATTAGCACTATCAAACAAAAACTCCTTAAACTTCCTTTATTTAACCAAATACCAAATTACAAAGAATTTGGGTCATACTACGACACTATTTACAGTGGACATTGGACAGTTCTAGAAATAATGGGAAGATTACAAGTAGTCATAATATTAAATACGATATTCAGCCCCTGTTTGATAGACATTTTCTTGGTATTTTTAGCATTTTTTTGATTGTTGGAACAATAACATGGGCCCATTGCAGGCCTTTTTTTATACTCAGCAGCATGTGAATTCTCCAAAATAACACTCAACAAACAATGAAATAAATGTAAAGGGGGTACAAAGGTAATTTCATGTGGATTAGCAATAAATGCAACTGTGAAAATGGCTACCTAACGGTTAGAATTTTTTTTACAAAACAAATGAAAATGGCTACCAAACAAAGACTCAATACAACATAGTTTGTAGGTGGAACTTTTCAACTTTCCATGGAGACTTGTATTTTCCAAGTGGTCAAGACATCTTTTTCCAAAATCCAAAGTGATTTTAGCCTTTGTTTGAGTTCATTTTTGAAAAAAATGTATTTTAAAATAGTGATTTTTTTTTTTAATTATATATATATAGATAATTGGTTTCTTGTTTCCATATATGAATATTTTATTTGAGCACGTAGTTTGTATATAAAGGAATGTAACCTGCTGCGAATGCAGAATATAGACATCCCATTGCTTCTTCATTGTTTTATCAGTACCTTTGTACTTTGGTGACGAATTATTGGACGGAAATTTTTCTTTATTACTTCTAAAATATTTTGTTAGTGGATTTTCTAGATGAAATTTTCTAACCATTTGATTTTGATTTTTCTCCTCATTTAAATATTTTTTTAGACGAATTCAATGGGAGGGAACTTGTCTATATAACAAATTCATGCTATTTTTTGTCAATTTTTTTTTTTTTAAATAATCCATTTTATAGCTATTGCTTATGGACGGAATTTTCCTCTTGCTAATTACTAGAATAGCCGAATAAGTTGATGCAAACATATTGCTCTTGTTTGTGTGGTCTTACATATTACGAAATTGCCATTTTACAGCATAATGTCATCCACAAGAATGAAAAACAATTCCATGATATATGTTGAAACTGGGGAATAAGACCTTAATTATAACTATAATTCAGAAATATTTTATTTCAGTTTGAACAAAATAATTCTTTCAAAATTATATTCCTATGCTACTAAACATTACATTAGAAAGCAAGAAAAACTCATTACTTTTCACTCTCTTCATCCAGTGACATAGGTGTGGATTTAGACCTTGAAAATGACAATGGAGGAAATGATTTCAAGTTTTTCTGTTGGGAAATTAATGGTTGAGAAAGCTTGTTTACATAGCTTGTAGCACACCCAATTCCATCTCGTGTGGATTGTTGAGGAGAATATAGATGAAAAATCTGTCCGAAATTCTCTGCTGATCCATGATTTTCTTGAGTATTACCACCTGAGTTTCCAATGAATGATGTAATGGCTGCTGCTAATGCTGATTGAAAAGTTGGATCACGGGCAACCGCCTTAGTTGCAGCAGCAATTTTATCAGTCATATGCATATTCTGTACTTCTGGAGAAGTTTGGACATTATTATGGATGTAAGCTTGAGAATTATTATAAGATGCTTCTACGTGGTTCCTGTTGTTGAACAGTGTCCCTGATCGGCTATGGAATTCGGTATTCCACGGTACATATAGGGTGTTGGCTTTGGAGTCGAGAGACGAAGAGGATGGTGTTGATGAAAAGTTGAGACATGTCGAAGAAGATGACGACATCGCAGAAAATAACGTTGAAGATGGTTTATTGTGAGGAGGGATAATATTAGGTGTGGTAAGGTCAAGAACAACGGTGGGGTGTGATTGGGAAGTTGAGATGGAAGCTCGAGGGAAATAGAAAGGCCGAGATGTGGTTAAGTTATTTGTGGAATTGAAGTTGAATCCAGTGAGATTTGTACTAGTAGAGGAGGTGGCTGACACTCCAATGCCTTGTTGCGAGGTGGAGGAGCCGGACTTTAGCATGGTGGCAGCTGAAGAGGTTGCTGAAGCCACAGCCTTGGCTTTTCCTGAAAGCGGATGGTTGTGCGTTCCTTCATAGGTAGTGATCAAAACGGACATGTCTTGTGCACATCTTTGCACCTAAATAGGAGATAACAGCTATGGTATTAGAGCATACAAATGTCCTAAAATAGATTGTTTCAATATGGTAAATGAACGGGAAAAAGCATGGTGCGTAACATTTTGACAAATGCATACATGTATATACCTGTTTCCTCACCGGGCAAGATGAAGAGACTGTGCAACGATAGTATGCCCGAGGACATGGATTCCCTTTCGCTATTTTTTGGCCATATTTTCTCCATTGGCATCCATCATTCATCTGCATATAGAAATTCATAAATTTAGAATGCAAACCATATGGTAAAATCATCTTTATCGACTCAAATATCAACAAGTATACGAAGACTTGAGGCAAAAACACGGTTAATATGTAAAATCTATATAGGCACATGCTGGAATTAACATGAATAACCAAAAAAGAAACGCGTGACAAAAATTTTCATAAATAAACTTTCGATGCCTAACCGATTGGGTGTCGCATCTGGCTCTTATAGAAACCCTAGGTTTCTTCAAAGGGTTCTGCTGTAGAATTTCATCATCTCCACTTTTTGCAGTCTTTAGGCTTTTACTGGGTGTACATGTACCGTTTTGTTCATCTTCCTTGGACTCATCAAAACTACGCTTTGGGCTTTGATTCTTCATGACTTCAGTAGAACCTAAATGAAATTTGCAGTCCAACCCTAGTTCAAGTCCATCAAGTTTACCATGATCCTCATGATTCTTCTCACTATTATTCCTCTTCTCCTCCCTCTTCTCAACAACTGATGAAAGTCTCCCCAGGCTAAGAGAAACGAGATCAGATTCTTCTTCCGTTGGTAAATCCGGAAGTGATGCCTGTTGAAAAAATTCTGTCTGTGTAGGCCTGTTCTTTTGTAGCGTGGGCTCGTCTTGTGGAGCTGTACTATGGAAATGCATTTTCAGTGAATGGTAATCCTTCAAGATTTGAGATAAAGTCAGTTTTAGTCTTTCATTGTCTTCTCTAACTGCATCCATTTTGGCTTTAGCTGATTTTAGATGATCCTCCTGCTGCGAAAAAGAAAAAAAAAAGTACTTTAATTCAATCAGTTACAAAGTTAAGAAAACAACATTTTCTCATAAAATGAACAGGAAATTGGTGTGGTGTAACCCAAATTATATTGGAAATTGATGTTTGGTTGAATAGGATTTGGTGTTTAGATGATAACGGAATCTAAATACTCATTGCGGCACCTAGGCGCCCATGACGAAGGAAAACAACAAGTTTGACCTCAAACTCAGTGTCCAAGCACAATGGAGGCAGCTCTCATGCTCGCTCATCATTAGGTTGCCGTTCGAGCGGCAGTGTTATCTAAACAAACTCGTGTTACAATTCTGCTTCTATTTATTGAATTGCAATCCATCCAAAACACTACAATTAAGATCATAAATATGTTCCACGACTTGTATACTCTTCATAACATAGAAAACATTGAGAAAACAATAGAAAATTGAGAGAAATTGTTTGATTTAGATTAAGTGCATCAAATCTTGTAAAACTATTTCGGTTTCTTGATTTAGTGAATTCTCCTCATCTGCCGTGTTTTTTTTCCTATCCTGGGTTTCCATGTAAATCTTGGTGTTCTTGTTTATAATTGATTTATTTCATCTTGCAATTATCATGTTCCAAGTATAACAGAAATAAATAGGACAAGATATATATCAATTGGATGAACTACTGCATAAATATTTATGATCAGCATCTGATTACTAATTATCTAACAGATTATCTTGAGTGATTTATAGTGGTTAACATATGGAATGTTATCAAGTTAATCTCAGTGTAATATATACATGAATGTTCGAGAATAGATGACTTGCTCTAAAGTTCTATAACATTTTGAATCTACAAACAAACAACTAAAATATGGATGAACTTGGTATAAGATCAAGTATTTGTTGCTATACAATATTTTTACCGTTCTATACATACATATTGACTTGTCATGTTAGATCTATTATAAACGACTTGACTAGATCTACAAAATCAATAATTGCGTAGAGAAAGAGCGTTTATGAAACATAATGGCTCCATGTAGGCAAATGAGATCAGCGTGTAAGTTTGCATATAAGTTAATTTTATTTTTACCCTCTTGTCATTTACTTGATCATCTTCATTAGGTGAAGATACATTTGAACTGCTATCTTCCTCAGAATTTCTTATATCTACAACCTGAAATATAAGATAATAATTATCTGTTAGTGAGAAAATAATTTAAGGGCACTAATTTATAAACTCTTAATTCTTTGATTTTAAGAAAGAATAATATTTCCTGATCTAACAATCTAATGAAGATAAATATATCAATTCTGCAGCACGATTCTTCGTTTAGCCACAACAAGCTAGCAAAACGAAAAGACACTATGGGAATAGAGAAAACAAGAAACTCAAAAAAAAAAAAAAAAAAAAAACCTAACTCACCTTTTTCCTTTCAATTAGGGTTTCTGCAACATCAGGAATACTAGACGACATGGTTTTACTTGCTTCCATAATCCTTCGGGATCAGCCTTTGATATTGAACAATTTTTCTTTATCCGTTTGTATGTAAAAGTATAACCATGTATTCTTATAAGCACCATGATTTGACTTCTGACAAAAAACAAAAAAAAAAAAAAGATTTAATATGAAGTCTAGCTGACCTTTGCATGTTACATACACAGCGAAAATGTCAACTGTCATGTCAACACCCCAATTCACACTCCAAAAAGGTTGTCACCTTGAATTGAATACTACTTTTTCTCATTAATTAGTTATTGGACATAATTAATTATTAAACTAATTCACAAATTCATGTTCAACGTTAAAGACATTGAAAGAGAATAAAATAAATTGCATTTTGCCGCCACCTTAAACAACCTAGTCTGAGTTGAATATTAGTACATTGTGACGATTAAGACCAGCTGCTATCCGGTAATAATTCATTAATTAACTTCTCTAATTTTCTTTGACTCTATGGGTCCTTAACAATACCGACAAGTTAATCTATGGATAATAACTTTTGAAAGAGCATTGAGGTTTGATTCGTCTTTAAAGCATAATATTGAGAATGTTCTTCGACCGACTAATTCAATAGGAGAACTTAATTCGATCCGAGCTTTTGGAATTTGCAATAAGTTAAGTCGGCTATCATGAAATCTTCGTGATTTATGTGGGACTGTGCTTTAGAGTCGACTTTGTGCGCCATTTTAGCATATAAGAGTCTAAAGTAACCAATGGGTTTTATTTTATGTTATTTTTAATTTCATAAGAACAAATGGAAATGAATTTTATTGTAGTAAATTCGACCAGAAATTATTCCTGGATTTTGCCAACGTTTTTTATTTTAAGCCACTATAGTCAATACTTTAGGAGAAAAGTCGTGGGCTGAATTTCTTATTTGTCATTGCAAGTGGGTTGAGCAACTAGATAGCGAAGAAAGTTGCCATTTGAAATTGTCATCTCATAAAAATAAATTTCTCCAATTTTCAAGGGATAAGATGATTTTCCACTGGTAAACAGATTTAAAGCTAGTCTAAGATAATTACTCTTGATTTTATTCCCTTTGTATTCATACATGTTTTCCGTCTGAAGCCTCGAGTACTTTTAAGTTCAGAATTTAAATTTATATCTAGGGGTGGGCAATGGGTCGGGCCGGGTAGGATTTGGCCCAAAACCGACCCGACCCGATATACCCGATTTTGGGCTCTTTGACAAACCGACCCGACCCAAATCGGGTCAGATCGGGTCCAACTAATTTTTGTTTTTTTAACCCACCACAAATCACAAATCAAACCAGAGAGCGAAAATTACTACCACAAATCTTCCCCAATTATATCCAACGGCTTTGTTATTGTCCGCAATATGATCCACTGCATCTTCGTCAGGTGCATCAGCCAATGAGTCAAATGGAGTAGCGGGCACCTGCGGAGACCTGTGCTTTTTCTTGGAAGGGGCCAAAGAGTCAGCATCAGCCTCAGGAGCTGGTGCCGGTGCCGGTGCAGGCGTAGGAGCTAACTTGAACAATTCCTCCGGCAACACCTTATTCAGCGAAAAAATAGCCAATGGCTGCTCGTCGATTATAGTATCAATGATTTTTGCCGTTACGAGCTTCGTCTTCAATGTTACTTCAGTACCATCATTATGTACGATGAAACATCAATGTTGAAGGAAGAAGAACATGAGTGGCTGAACCGATGAGGAACTAGCGAACTGATGAGGAAAGAATAGGATTTCAGAGGGTGAACTGATCAGGAAATAATAGGGTTTCAATGGGTTGGGTCAGTTTGTGAGGTTGAACCGACCTGACCCACAATTATTTTAAAGTTATTTTATCCAACCCAACCCAACTTTATCCCTAAACCGACCCTACCCAACCGATTTGGGTCGGGTCGATTTTTCAAGCTGTGGTTTTCAAGCCCAATTCTACTTATATCAAAAATATTTCCATGCCCTTGTAATATATAGTACCTCCACATTTTACCTTATTATTTATATAATAATTTAATTTTATAACTAGTTAAGAATTAGAAACCTTAATTCTATAGAACTTCATCTCAATTTGAAACTATTTCATCTTCCACCGCTGCTATAATTCAATGGAATGAAAAGAAGTTAAAAAGAGAAAATTTTACACAAATCTTCGCTAACATCTCTTACTCTCTTTTTGATGATTGTCCCAAGATTAATGACGGTTAAAAAACAAAGTAGGGGAAAACTGAAATTTACAATGACTCAAATTCCTAAAACGAATTTTTATGGAGCACAACTTTCTAATAAGAATTTATAGATGCCGATCTACGATTAGCTTCCCAAAGTGACAATAATGAGCCTCTACAACTTAACATGACTAGTATAAAATCTTTCTTTTTAACTTTTTATGCATATTTGTAACACTACAAATATGGTCTTTCTAATTATCTTTATAGATATAGCAGTTAAACAACTGATATTATTTCTTTTAATGTTTTGTCTCGAATTACATTCGGTTTATATTTCTTAACATGGTCAAAGCAGGTAAAGATATACTCAAGCTTCTCTACCATCCACTCAGGAAAATCGTGCATGTGTCGCCTTTAATTAAATTCATTATCTTCGTCGTGCTCTTCATATACTCAGTTTTTCAGTTAATGGGGCCACATTAGCTAATGAAGAGCATACTGTATTAATTATGGATGAAGATCAACCACTAATGTTATAAGACAAGAACGAGACTTAATATTTGGATGTTAATAGTTTGTAATTATAGAGTAAACTATATCATTCGAATATAACAAAATAATTTATTATACGAAATAATCATTTTCTATTTGCACATCACATATTTAGAGCATTTTTAAGAGTTTCTTTCTTTTTAAAGAACATCTTTAAATGTAAAGAGCATTTTTTTTATACACTCAGACAATACTATTAATAATTTTGACTCTTTATTTTACGTTTTCCAATAAAGTTTCCCTCACATTTATTTTATATTATTTTTACAACCAAATGAAGCGCTAATAGCTAACATAATCAGTATTATACAGATATTAAACAAGTGGAGTTGTTAGAATATGTAAGCAGCGGGATTCAGCAACAGAGACTAGCAAGATTCAACAACAGAGAATTGAGCAAACATCAACGGTTCAGCAAGTGTCCAGCTCAGTTCAAGTTCATTTGGAGCCAAAGGAAGTAGTTGTGTACAGTTGTCAAATTAGTTGGTTAGTTAGTTGTTGTAATTAGTTAGATTTTGTTCTATTTAAGAGCTGCCATTGTAATGATAACTCGATTATTTTCCTTCCTTAATTGAAATGAGAATGCAGTCTTCATTTCTCAATTCCTTTCTTTTTTAATATGGTATCAGAGCATAATTGCTGCTCATCACCACTAGTTTTTCGATTATCATCTAATTAATTCTGATTAGATTCAGCTGATTAATTCTTCCGTGAGTTATCCTTCAACTGATTTATTCTTCTTTGAGATATCCTCATCAATTTAGCAATGGATAATTCGGCAGCTGATGATGGATCCAATCCATATTTATTACATCACTCAAGTAATCCTGGTTTAATTCTTGTTTCATAGTCACTAGTCAGATAGAATTATGCTTCCATGAGCACATCGATGGTGATTGCCTTATCTGTAAAGAATAAATTGGGTTTTATTGATGGAACTATTCCATGAATTGAGGACAATCAAGAGCTACTCAATCTGTGGATTCGTAACAATAACATTGTTACCTCATGGATCCTCAATTCAGTGTCCAAGAAGATTTCGGCCTGTGTGCTCTATTCTGAATTAGCCTATGAAATTTGGACAGATTTTGAAGGAGCGATATCGGCAAAGGAATGGTCCTTGTATTTTTCAATTGAAATGGGAGCTAATGAACCTGATGCAAGAGGATTCATCTAAGTACTTATTTTACCAAGTTGAAAACAATTTGGGAAGAACTTGCTAATTACAAGCCGAATTGCTCATGTGGTAAATGCGTCTATGGGGGAAGTAAGAAGTTAATTGAGCATCATCAAGTAGAGTATGTCATGTCCTTTCTAATGGGACTAAATGAATCATTTGCACAAACTAGGGGACAAAACAATGTTAGAAAGAATGCATGGCAACAGTACAATAGAATCCAAAAGAAGGACAAAGCAATATGTACCTATTGTGGACTTAATGGCCATAAGTGTTACAAACTTCATGGCTATTCATCGGGGTACAAATCTAAGCAAAAGTCTGGAATGAATGTGTTAGCTAGATCAAGCAGTCGAGCCATAGTTAATTAGATCTCAGAACATGTTGCTGCCATGGATCATAAACTGGACAATGATGGAAATGTTGGTAGCTTTGTGCAGACACTCAATCCCACTCAATATCAGTATCTGATGAACATGCTAAACACTCATCTCAAGAATGCAAAATTGGACTCAGACATAGGGGTTGGTTCAGGTAAGGATTCAAGTACATGTTTCTTAATCTCTATTAATCCAAATTTTAGTTCATCTAAGCACTAGGTAGTAGATTCAGGTACAACAAGTCATATATGTCTGATCAATTAGCATTCAATGAATTGAAAATACATATATTATACTTCCATATCATGTCCAAGTACTTGCACAGTCAGTTGGAAATGTGAAACTCACATGTCAATTAATGCTCAATGATATCTGTATGTTCCCCAATTCAAATTCAACCTGCTATTAGTGAGCGCTTTAACGAGGAATTCTTCATTATGTGTCAATTTCCTCACTGATTCCTGCATGGTTTAGGACTTGAGCACATTGAGGATGATTGGCAAGGGTGAAAGGAAGGCAGACCTTTATGTAATTTATTCCAACTTCCCAGTTCATAATAACATTTGTCATTTTTCAGTAACAAATAATGTAACTAGTCAAGTTTAGCATGACAGACTTGGGCATTTATCATATCAAAAGTTAGAACTATTGAAGAACTTGTTACATGTTGATTGTATTCAACTTAAGCAAAATACTCTACTTCCTTGTTCTATTTGTCCTTTGGTAAAACAAAGGAGGTTATCATTTGTATCAAATAATCATCTATCAGATAATGCCTTTGATTTGATACATTGCGATATATGGGGACCATATCATACCCCTACATATGCTGGTCATAAATTCTTTCTTACTTTGGTAGATGACTGTACATGTTTCACTTGGATCTATTTGATGAAACATAAGTCGGATCAAAAGCTTATCATACCAAAATTTCTTGCTCTTGTTAAAAGTCAATTTCACAAAGTCATTAAGACCTTTAGGTCTGATTATACTCAAGAGTTAAAATTTACTGAACTCTAAGGATGAGGGCACTATTCATCAATTTTCTTGCATTGAACGACCTGAACAAAATTCTGTAGACATCAACATTTGCTTAATGTGGCACGAGCACTATATTTTCAGTCACAAGAACCTATTCAATTCTAGGGTGAATGTGTTCTTACTGATCAATCGAACACCTTCTCCAATTCTCAAAAACATGACTCCATTTTCCCTGCTGTATGACACCTCTTTTGATTACAATTATCTTAGGGTGTTTGGTAGCCTTTGTTTTGCATCTACACTACCATCTCACAAAAATAAATTTTCTCCTAGAGTTAAAGCGTGTGTTTTTATTGGTTATCCGCTAGGAGTCAAAGGATACAAACTTTATGATATCTCATCTAAGTCTTTTCTTATCTCTGGGGATGTGGTTTTTCATGAAACTCACTTTTCTTTTCACTTTATAGCTTCTCCATCAGATTCAATAGATCTCTTTCCTGATGTTGTATTACCAAGCAATATCAATTCTAATCTATTTGTTTCCCATCCGGTTTCATACTCATCTACTTCAACCAACATTAATGTTTTGACTGAACATCACCTAGCCTCGTCTCCATCTACTTCTGCTGATAATAATATTTCACCTGAATTCCCTTCTAACTATTCTTCCGATTCTGCTCAGCACAATCAACAACCTGTTGATGATTTACCTTCATTCCCCATGCCTAGAAGGTCTACTAGGGTGAATAAACCCCCATCTTATCTTCATGAGTTTTATTGTAATCTACTAGCAAATCAACAACCTCATGACAACAATTCACTATATCCTTTAAATAAATATATTTCCTATAACTCATTTTCTCAGTCGCGTAAAACATTTCTTCTTAATATCTTTTCCATTGTTGAACCATAATTTTATCACCAAGCTATTGCATCTGATCACTGGAAGGAAGCAATGGCTACTAAGTTGGCAGCTATGGAGTCAAATAATACTTGGACTATAACCAATTTGCCCAAGGGTAAACACTCAATTGGCTATAGGTGGGTCTACAAGGTCAAGTATGGACCTGATGGAAGTGTAGACATATATAAGGCACGATTGGTTGCAAAAGGTTACACTCAACAAGAGGGACTGGATTTCATTGATACATTTTCTCATGTTGCTAAGTCCGTAAAGACAATGCTTGCTATAGCAGCCATTAATAGATGGCACTTGGTTCAGTTAGATGTGAACAATGATTCTTTAAATGGAGACCTTTCTGAAGAGATTTATATGGATTTACCTTTGGGGTATTCCAATATACCTATTGATGTTGTTAAGGAAGGTAAAACAGTTTGTAAACTCCATAAATCCATCTATGGTCTTCGCCAGACATCTAGACAGTGGTTTTCCAAGTTCTCTAAGAGTTTTGAAAATTGTAATTTAAATACATTTAATATCAAAGACAAACACGGAATGAGTTTGAGTCTTCAAATTTCAAAAAGCTAAAATATAGTGTGTGTTGGAGCATTTTTTAGGCATTTACTCCTTCAAATATAAAGTATCTTACTTTTCATCTGGCATGGCACTAGAAGGGCATCTATTTATTAGATAACTAAAGTCGACTAGTTTTCCTCTCCTTTTTTCCTCAGGGATCTTAAAGTCTATAACACTAGAAGGGTATCTATTTATTAGATAACTAGCAGTCTTAACTGCTTCACCCCAAAAAAATTTAGGCAGGCCAGAACACAACAACATGCATCTAACTTTAACAAGTATAGTACGATTCATTCTTTCAGCCAAACCATTTTGTTGTGGTGTGTGTGTGACTATTCTATGGCTGAACAT